GGAAGAAGAGGTTCGCAGCTTATTTGAAGAGCTGTTCCTCTTGGCAAACTTCTTGGCCAGCAGGGCCATCTTCTTCTGGAGATCTGCAAGCTCAGCTTCAAGATCAGTTCCTTCTTCATCGCTCTCATCTTCATCAGATTCAACCTCCACTACTTTCTTCTTCTTCTTCTGCAGAGGTTTCGCTGTTCTTTTGGGCTGAGCTTCCATCAGTAGAGCTAGAGGGTTTGGGTTTGATTGTTCCTCAGTGCATACAACATCATTGACGAACTCCTTTAACAGCTCATTTAAGGTGAAGAGATCAATTTCATCCATGTCAATGCGTTGTCTCAAGTCCTTTACCGTTTTACTCCAAGATGTGTGCAGACTAGACAGAAATCTAGTATTCAATTCCAGGTTGGTTCTGAATATTTTGATTTTCCTCATTTCATTCATCAGCTTTACAAGCCTGGCATGAGTCTCGTGAAGAGGTTCTCCAGGAGCAGCCTTGAACGAGTCATAAGCCATTAGAATAGCAGATTTCTTGGTTTTTAGGCTTATGCTCGTGCCTTGGAGTAATTTTTCAATCTCGTCCCACATTTCTTTTGCAGTTTGCATACTATCAATCATCACGTACACTTCATTGGGGATGGCTTGGAGGAGGTATGTTTTGGCCATAAGGTCTCCTCTCAGCCTTAGTTTGTCTGCTTCAGTGTATTCAGACGGCCTCTTTCGTCTTGTTTCCGGAGGAATAGGTGGATTATTAGTTGAGTCCCCTCCTACGTCAATCATTAGTACAGCTGGTCCTTCCAGGAGTGATTCCAGCATTGCGTCGGAGCTTTCTTTGTGTTCTAGGAAATTCAAGAAACGAGTTATCCACATTTGGTACTCCCCTTTCCTCAGAGATGGAGGAGTACTGCTGTTTCCTTGCGCATTGGATTCAGAAGCCATTCCTGTAGCTGTAGAAAACTGACCGTTCGAGAAATAAGATCAGAAAATTTACTAAGTCAAGAACTCGAGTTCCTGAGTATTAAAAGCCTGAACTCGAAGTCTGGGAACTCGAGGTGAGAGTGCGAGTTTATGAACTCGAGGTCAAGAGTTCGAGTTTCCAAAACTCGCGGTGTAAACTCGCAGGGTCAAAACTCGTGGTCAGACTGCGAGTTTGCAGACTGCGAGTTTGTAGGCTGCGAGTTGTAGAACGCGAGTTGTAGACTGCGAGTTCTTGAGCTCGAGTTTGTAGACAGCGAGTTTCTCAACTCGAGTTTGCAGCTGCGAGTTTATGCAGTAACACCTTGGGCTGCGAATTCCTGAAAAAATAAAACTTCAGATTTTCAGAAAAACAAAAATGGTAGGTTGTAGCCCTTGTTGTAGAGACCCTTTTACCCAAGTTTCAGGTCAAAAAGCTGCACAGAGCTTAGAGAAACGAGGGATGCGAGTTCTTGGGTGCGAGTTTACAGAGAACGAAAAAATGCGGAAACGAAAAAGGAAGATATACTGCTTGATCGTCTTTGAAACGCGATTCTAACAGTATAACTTTTACAGTATTTGGTGCAGAAATAAGATTACAGATGATGAACTCGCTATTCTACAAAAACAGAGTCTTTCGCAGATAGTTCTTCTGATCAGCTCTCGATCGGCTCTGATACCATTTGTTAGTCCCTGTTTTCTATAACAACAGTATAATATGGCATACAGATGAAAGATTAACAACAAAGATGAACACAGAAAGATCAAGTGTAAACCTTCTTTGATATACCGTGAACCTTTCGTACAAGAATGATAAGCGCTAAGGCTATTTTGAGCAGATACGAAAGTTAACCGCAAACCTGAGTCCTCCTCCCTCTTTTATAGGCGAGGCTCAAGTATGCGTAAAAAGGCTTCTCGCCTGAGTATGGGCCCAACACTTGGCCCATATTGAATACTATTCTAACAGATATATTTAATCAGTACAGAATAGAAATAGTAAACATCTAACTTATTACAGACAAAACAGACAAACTTGATTCACAATAAAATAGTCTTCAACAGCATGTATTTTGTATTAATTTATAAAAAACAGTTTTTTGAGTTTTTTCAGTTTTTGTATCAATTTATAAAAAACAGTTTATTATTTTATAAAAAACAGTTTATTATATATTGAACTTATAAAATCAGTTTTTTCATATTTATTTATGAAACTTATGAAATTAGATTTTTGTATTAATTTAAAAGAAACAGTTCATTAGCTTCTTGTATTTTATACTACCTCCGTCCCTTAAAACTTTGTCAAAGTTGACCAGCACGGAGAATAATAAAGTAAAAACTGTGTGGTTGAGATTTGTGCAGATGAGAGAGAAAAAACAGAAACCACAAAATAATTGATTAAAAGGGAAAGTGACAAAGTTTTTTGGGACGTCCCAAAAAGGAAAGATGACAAAGTTTTAAGGGACGGAAGAAGTATCAATTTATAGAAAACAGTTTATTGAGTTTTTTTTATTTCGGTTTTAATCTATAAAAACAGTTTTTTTTAATTAATAAAAAACAGTTTATTTCATATTAAACTTATAAAATCAGTTTTTTCGTATTTATTTATCAAACTTATAAAATCAGTTTTTGTATTAATTTAAAAAATAGTTTATAATGTCCGAAATTAGTTAAAAATCAGTTTTTATCAAGTTTTATAAACAATAGTTAACAATAGTTAAAAAAGTTAATATCTGAAAAGTTAATCAAGTTTTAAAAATCATTTAAAAATCAGTTAAAAATCAGTTTTATTTATCATTTTTTATAATATCTGAAAAAATAGTTAAAAAGTTGTATTAACAGTTTCATGGATTTTGTTGGATTACACATGTTAACTTTTTTGAAAGTGTAACATGAGGGGGGCGAAAATTTATAGAGTTGAAATTAATATTCCTAATAAATGTCCGAAATTAACAAGAGCATGTACATTTTCAAGAAATAGAGCATACTTTTTCAAAAAATAGAGCATAATTTGAGTATATAAAAATATAAATGACGGCACAATAAAACATTTACAATGTTTACAATGATTTCAATATAAAAACATGCATTTAAATATAAAATTATATAAACACAAAAATAAATTGAATGATTAAACATATAAACAAATCCGTTGCATGATGACATGAGCATCATGACTTTGCAGAAAGCATCTCTTTCAGTAAGCAGGAAGCCGCAGACTGATTTCGGTAATACAGCCCCAGACGTTTGCAAAAAGCATCTCTTTCAGTGCAATCGGCATAAGTCGTTGCATGATTACATGAGCATCATGAGTTTTCATGCTCGACGTCATTGTTTGTTTGTCCAGGTCCACACATCTTGACAGGTTAGAGCAATAGCATCCGGAAACTTTAGAGACACAAGCCACTCTAATATTGGTTCCCTTTGTGGGCCTGTGAGTTGGTAGACTGCTCTTGGATTTTTTTACCCACATATTCTAGATCGACGGCGAGTTCGGGTCTGTCACACCAAATCGTCGTGTCTTTTCTAGAGGGAGGTAAAACAATTTAGACAATGCAGACCTTTTTCGTGGTTTTTTTTTGTCTGAGGAACAGGCTTGTATCTCTCTCCACCACAGAACTTGCAGCTCTCAAGTGCCACATCATCCTTCCAGAACAACATACATCCTTCTGGGCATCAATTTCTATACAAGGAAGCCCCAACTGAGACATTAATTGTTTCATTTTGTAATATGAATCAGGAAGATTATGGTCATGCGGTAGCATTCTTCCAAATGACTGCAATAACTTAAACATGCAAGATTCAGGGAGACTGTATTCAGATTTAATGTTCATCAACTATGTAACGACGGATACCTGAGAGTATCCCTCACAATCAGCATACAGAGGCTGATCAACAACTTTTAAAACATCTTGAAATCTCTCAGCTAAGTCTTCAATATGAGGAACATGAGAATTCGAATACTCATCTACATCAGATTGATAAAAGGTCGGATCTTCATCCACATTTGGTTGATACGAGGTCGAAGCTTCGGGAAGATCGTTAAATGGTTGTGGGGGGTTAAACTGAGTCGTTGAAGCACCGTATACATCATATGTCATTCTTTGCTCCCACATCATTTGATCATAGTCTCCCCACCCACTCATCTCGGTAGGGACGTTACGAGATGAACCTACTCTTTGTGGTAAAAGTGATGGATCGAAAGGTTCACCATGAGAAGTCCAATTATAATAATTGGCAACGAAACCTTTTTCGTACAAATCCCACACAACTTGGTCGCCATCTTTAAATTGGAGATTTTTACACTTTGCACATGGACATCTGATTTTATCGTCATCCATATAATTCTTCTGTTCTAGTGCAAATTTAATAAAATCTTCAACACCATTAAAAAATTCACTGCGTATTCCATAGTTATCGCGATGTTTTTTGTACATCCAACTTCTGTTCTGTCTATACATTATGCCTGGATATTATAATCAAAATATTATATTAAGTACATTAAGTAACGTTCAATTAATATTATTAATTAACTAAAAGCAGTGCATTTATGACATTAATAATTTAAATTAACTAACTTTTCAATCATGACTAATTTATATTTAGAAACATTAATATGTTAAATTTCACTCAAGTTCACTATTAATATTATTAATTAACTAAAATCAACACATTAATGGCCGGCATTAATAATTTACTAATTAACTAAAGTTCACTAGTAACATCAATATATTAAATTTCACTAAAGTTCACTAAAATTAACTAACGTTCAATTAAAATTACTAATTAACTAATAGTAATACGTTAATGGCATTAATCGTTTCAATTATTAACTAATTCACAATATTAGAATTTTTGCACCAAATACACTAAATTATTACGTTAATGACATTTATTCACAATACTAAAATCATGAAAATCTAATACTACACATTAAATAATTAACTAACATTTAATACTAATTAAAGTTATTACATTAATGGCATTTATTCACAATACTAAAGTTCACTAATTTAACTTATTAGTTAATTTCCATTTGGCACCACGATCCATCAGATCACCAAATGGTGGGCTCATACCAGACTCACGATCCATCAGATCCGTTGGCTGGGCCTCAACCAGTTATGCCGCCGTCGCATCTGCTTCAGCAGACATTGATGGAAGATATTTCATATCCGTCCAAAGCCTCTGCAGGGGTGTACAAGGCAAAATTGTTAGAGTTATGTCGGAAGCACAGATGATGAAACAACCTGAGTACGTGACATCGAAGGAAGGTCCTGATCACATGCCTCGATTTACTGCCACTGTGGTTGTCAATGAAGCTGCTTACATCACTCCACACAATCAATGCCGTTTATCGAAAGAAGCAACAAACCTTACCGCTTGGGTTGCCTTCAACCAATTAGCAAGCCTCGGCTTTTCATCAGCAGATCATATTGATATCACGGTACATCAAGACAATGAAAGGAGTGCACAACCATCCGATATCAAATCAACATCATTGGCTATGTTAACTTTAACTAAGGAAAGAAAAGAATTGATGCAAAGTGTCTCTCATAAAAAACTGAAAATGTACGAAGGCATTTAAATAGCCTTTACATGAGCTAGAGTTAAGCATGATCTCCACTAACAGTGTGGCAACTCTCATGGCTAAAGAAAAGGAAATGCTTGACTGAAAAATAGGTAAAATAACAACCATAACAACATGCATGCATTACGTCCTAAAAATGAGGAAACTGATCTAGACTTATTCAAATACTTAAACTGGAACTAAACTCCCACGTGCATGGACATGCATGGGTAATTAGGAAACTTCAAGCTTGGTCATATTCAACAGGCTAGTAGAGAGCCTTCCAACTCTTCACACATGCAACATGTGTACAAGAACCAGCTACAACAGTATGTTTAGAAGCAGGTCCGACCCTGGCGGTGTGCAGGGCGTCCAACCGCACAGGGCCCAAAAAATTGGAAGGGCCCAATTTTTTTTGTAGTAATATACTAGTATTACTTAGAGGTGGAGCGTATATATAGAAACGAAGGAGTAGTAAATCCTCCATTTCCACCGGTGTGGGAATCTTAAGCTTTAGAAACTAAAAAGATAAGAAGCGAGGCATGCGCGATTCGAACCCGGGTGAAAATAAAATCATGCACACTGATCTCTAAACATCAACCCACTGGACCAAATCAACTAATTCTTAAAATAAGGACGTACAAGCTTTATATTACCTATTTGTTCTACAAAATAAATAATTAAAAATATCTCTTAATAAAAATCGGTTCGGTTCGGTTTGAACCGATTTTATAACTCAAAAAACCTTCATTAAACCGATTTATGTACGAGTCCCGAGTTTCGGGTCCCGTTTGAGTCGGTGCGGTTTCTGTTCAGTTTTTTTAACTTGTGTTGAAACTTTGAAAAGAAGGCCCAATTATTTTTGTTGCACAGGACCTTCATTTCCTCAGGACCGCCCTGCTTAGAAGAAAGGAATAGCTCTTCCTCAGTATTCTTGTGAAACCGAAGGACCACCTCATGATCATCTATTTAGATCAAGGGTGACTTTTGATGGAAAATCCTATGAATGTCGAAAAATTTTCAATACACTGAAAGAAGCCGAACATGCAGCGGCAAAGGTTGCAGTTGAGGCGGCATGCCCCGATGAAATTCAAAAGGGTGGAGGTCTATCCAAGACCCTTTTACAAGAGCTTGCACACAAACTTGGGTTTCTTTTTCCGACATGTAAAACAGTTCAGTATGGTCCACCACACGGTGCTACTTTTATATCCTTTGTGCAAATTGGTGAGGAATCATATGAAGGACAATCGGCTAAGACTAAGAAGCAAGCTGAAATGAATGCTGCCGAGATTGCCTACAATACCTTGATCAATTGTGCAGATGTCATTAGTTCAATGGTGAAGAAAACATCGGCTACACCGCATCCTCTCTCACTCAGCGATCAATGTTTTGTTCCAACACCGCCTGAGCGTTCTGTTGTTTGTGTTTTACCGTTTAATAAAAATAGGAGTTCAACGATGGAGTCTAATGTCAAGCAAACTGATGAGTTTTTTGTTTCACAGTCCAATTCAAGTTCTGCTACTGTTTCTGGTCATGCTCCTGTTTTGTCTTGTAATGTTTAGGATTTACATGATAGCTCATCGTCCAGTCCGTTGTCAGTCCAACATTTAAGTAGTTTCATTGAGAAGTTTAGTTCGATTGACAGAGCAACTTGTGCAAGTAACATGGTTTTGGTCTACCGGCGTGGTTCACAAGCAGTACTCCCTGCTCATGCTTCCATGTTATCATGCAGTGATGACAAATGGGTGGCTGTTCAAGTAGATCTGAATGGTAATTAAGGGAACACTTATATCTATGATAGCATATATATTGTGCTCTTTTCCCTGAAAACATTTGTATTCAACAATGTTGTTTTGTGTTTTCCATCATTTTCAATGGAGCCAAAGATTCATTATTTTTTGGCTTGAGATTATGATGGAATAAAGCAAAATGGCTCACTAAACTGTCTGCGCTTCTTTGTTATGAAGCAACAGTCAGTTCATGCAATTTTGGACGGGATTTTCACTATGGGCCATCCGGAAACAGTCTCTCTGTGCTTGTACAGGGGTAAGACTACGTACATCCGACCCCCCCTTACCCCACCGTAGGTGGGAGCCTTTGCGGCACTGGGGTAAATGAAAATGATGAAATGAAATGTTGTTTTGTGTCTTTTTATGTATTGAATATTTGTGTGTGTTCACTAAATAGTATTCATGTCTTTTTTATACTTCGTATGTAGTTATTGATAGTCTCATAGTCATGCTTTGTTTAGGTTACTTACTAATTTTACGAAAAAATTCCACTTTTGGTCCCATGACTATTACGCCACTTCCACATTAATCCCCTGAGTTTCAATTTAACCAAATGTAGTCCTTGACCTTTTCCACGTAACCACCCGTGGTCCTTCCGGCCACAATTCCGGCTAAATGTTACCGGAGACCATTTAATGAAGGGTAGTTGCGTCATTTAATAAAATTAAGATTACAAAAACGGCTACCTAATAAACTACTCAATTAAGTTAACTTAATTGTGAGCTAATACCGTCGTCTCCCTCTACCTCAAAAACCGAACTCTCTTCTCCCTCTGAAGAAAGCTTCCGTCAGCTCGACAAATCTCCAAAACCGTTCGAACAATGAGGACCCGTCTCGACCGCCGGCGTCAAGGAGAAGGAACAAGCTCTGAACGGCGTTCTCGAACAAATGCTGCTGATAAAGGTAAGTGGGTCAACTTTTTAACAAGAGTGGAAGAAAATAAATAATACTCGTATAAGGCTGAACTGAGGTTTATATATACGGTGGTTGCAGTGTTTGCACATGTTAGGGGTTTGATGTTGAGGTTCCCCTTTCCCCTTTTCCCTTTATTCCAAAACAAGGTAGGGTAGGCATGTGTTTTTTGGCTTAGATTCTCCTACCCGGTTGTCTTTTACCATTTAACACATGGGACCAGTTCACATGTATCTTCACGCAAGCTTAGACCCATACATGCTTTTTTTTGAACTAATAATTATGAAATTCATTTATGGTGTTGTGTTGACCATTTAAACACACTATTGACCTCATTTATAAAGCAGCTGCAGCCAACTGTGGAAACACTTTTACTTTGAGGTTGTTTTATGGAGGAAAAGTAAATCACATGGAAAAACCTGCATACTTGGGAGGGTCAATCCATAATTTTCATGATGTAGAGGTTGATGAGTTCGGTTTGATTGAGTTGAATGAGAAATTACAAGAACTTGGTTGCACCAAAAAGGTAATGACTGTGTATTCCTATTCACATGAGAATGAGTCCCTAAAGCAACTAAATAATGAGGCAGAGGTTTGGGGGATTGTGAATGGTGGAAATGTTGGTAAGGTGGTGGAGTTTTGGATAGAATTAGAACCCAGTGGTGACACTGAAGATGATGATGACCCTGAGGATAGTGACTTCAGTGAGAAGGACTTAGAACACTTTTCTGGGGATGAGGATGACTCTGATTTGGAAGACTTCATTTCTAAGGAGGATGTTGTGTTGTCTACTCATGGAGGGTTAAACAGCAGTAGTGAAGGAGAAGAAAATGTTACTGAAGCTTCAATGGTGGACCCGGATCCTAACTTGTCTGATGATGCTTCCATACATGAATCTGACAGTGACTCTGAGAAGTGGACTACATTCTGTGCCAAGACTGATATGAAAGAGCCTACCTTTAAACTGGGTTTGACATTTGGCACCAAACAGGAATTCAACGAAGCTGTGGAAAATCATGCATTTAAGAATGGTAAAGAGGTGAGGTTTGTCAAAAATGATAAGGAACGGGTTGTTGTGGAGTGCAAGCATATAGGCTGCCCATGGAAGATGAATCTAAGAAAGGTAATGAACTCTCATTCTTGGAGGACTTAACTGGGATCCCCTGCAAGCATGCAATCTATGCTATATGGCTGAAATTTGGAAAAGGCCCTGTTGATGCATATGTCCACCCATGTTATTCCAAGGACACCTATATGAAGATCTATGCAGGGTCCATAAAGCCAATGGCAGGCCCAGATGAGTGGCCTTGGTCTGATAGACTTCCCCCTCTTCCACCTGTATATGCTGCTAGAGCTGGAAGACCAAGAAAACTAAGGAGGAAATCTGCAGTAGATCTGAGCACAGATGGTGTCCGAGTTGCAAGAACACATATTAAATTGCATTGTTCAAAGTGCAAGAAGGCTGGTCACAATGCTAGGAGATGTCCGGATGATCTTAACAACAAGGAAAAGCTGGTATAGTCTGCATCTAATTTTTGTAAGCTTATTTTATTATTATAGTATATTGTGTATAATGTGTGCATTAACTACTATGTGTTTACATGTAATCAGCTGCAACCTAGAAAAAGAAATAGGAAACCAAAGAGCAAGCACAGTGTTGGAGTGCATGATAGAGATGAGGAGCCTAGGGATGAGGGGTTTGCTACAGAGGACACCCTTGGTGATCAGTCCACCCTATTTGATGACCTCAACCTTATTGACATTACCATGCAGTCTGCTGAAGGAGCAAATTTTGCAACTCAGGTTCCTATTGTTGTGAGTATAGAGGACACTGCTATGTTCACTCAAGAAACACAGGTCAGTCAAGACTCAGAAGATAGCAAAGAAGAAACCTTAGAAGGGAGCAAACAAGAAGAGAGCCCCAAAGGAGAGAGTGAAGAGGTTTCAGAAGAAGAGACTGTTGGGACATACCAGAGGACAAAAGAAGGGGTTAGGATATGCTATGGACCACCCCCTTGTCAAAAGAAGAGCAGTTCAAATGTAGTCAAACGACCTAAAGTGAATCCGAGACCCAAACTGAGCATTAAAAGGGGCCCAACATATGCTACTAGATCAAAAACAACTTTCAAATCAGTCTTCTATGGAAATGATGATGACCCCATTGATATACAGTAATGGGTGGACTAAAATGTGTATTCATGGTGCTACTTTGATGATGTAATGTAGTACATTTTTTGCTTTTTGGAACTGATGCAACTTTGATGATGCTACTGTATTGGTATAGCTTCTATGTTTTTGAGATACTTTGGCTATTCATGATCTCAGTGTGATCATGTAATGTATGGATTAGCATTTTGGTTTTCAATGATATCATGTATTTGGATGATCTGATGTAATGTATGTATGGATTAGCATTTTGGTTTTCAATGATGTCAGGTTTATGGATGATCTCATGTAAGTTCAAACAATGGTAGTGATGTATTAACAGGTTGTCAAGTTTGTCAAATTTGTCAAGGTTGTCAGTTAGCATACATATGTGTTAAGCACATTTTAAACTTATCAGTTAGCATACATATGTTATCAGTTAGCATACATCATGATCATATAACTTTCATTTCATACGAAATCATGATAATCAACAGCTTTTAAAAAGCTTTTACAAGTACAACATCACACACCTCACTACATTACATTATTTGCCTTTCAACCACACTGAAACAATAATAACCACAACACACATAAAGCACACTACTGTAATGCAGTTACTACGTTTTGTCTTCTTCTTCTGTGGTCTGAACCAGTTTGTCTCCAATGTTTCAACCTTCAATTCCAATGAATGGATTTTTTCTTCATAGCCATTCAGTTTTTTCAGTAATCCTGGGATTATTTTTTGAGACCTTTTGCACATCGGAGGGTCAAACCACTCCATCAAACCACAACCTTCAAATCTCTGCAAGAACATATATATTTTCCAATTCAGCCAACGAATATAGAATTTCAAAATATTTCATATATTACAACTATATATAACCTGACTTCCAATGCATTTCCAAAATCTTCTCCCACAGTTCTCTGGTTTCCAAGTTGTCAACATCTTCATTCGTTGCCCACATTCACAATACTTCACCGGAATCCACTCTCCATATTCATATTGGCCCGTACAGTTTGAACTACCTGATTTTGAGCTAGACATGGCGACGGAGAAGCTATGGTGAGATGCTTGTCTGCACCCACTCAAACCAGTCAAACGTTGTTGGGGGTCACAGTAGCTATGGCGAGGGAGGTATAGCGAGGGAGAAGCTATGGTTAGAGAGTCTGCGTTTATGGCCTTTAAACGTTGGAGTTAGGTTTCAAACCAATAAATGCTATTAAATGACGCAACTACCCTTCATTAATTGGTCTCCGGTAACATTTAGCCGGAAATGTGGCCGGAAGGACCACGGGTGGTTACGTGGAAAAGGTCAAGGACTACATTTGGTTAAATTGAAACTCAGGGGATTAATGTGGAAGTGGCGTAATAGTCATGGGACCAAAAGTGGAATTTTTTCCTAATTTTACTGTTCATGTTTTGGAAATTTTCAAAAAAAAAGTTAATTTCCATTTAACTAATATTGTTAAATATCATTAATTCACAATAATATATAATTCACACTTAACTAATAAAGTTTTAATCCTAACTTAAATCACTACAAATCCTAAATTATGCATTAACAATAATTATCGCTAATAAACAAACCTAATCATCATTGGTTATAAACCCATTTCAATTAACTAATATTTAAATTTAACTAATATTATCAATTCAAATTCTAAACCCATTTCAAATAACTAATATTTACATTTAACTAATATTGTTAAATATTAGTCGTGGAACTAAATTAATTAAAGTTCACTAATTTAACTTAGTTAATTTCCATTTAACTAATATTGTTAAATATCATTAATTCACAATAATAATTCACACTAAACTAATAAAGTTTCAATCCTAACTTAAATCACTACAAATCCTAAATTATGCATTACCAATAATTGCTAATAAAAAAAATCTAATCATTGGTTATATAAACCCATTTCAATTAACTAATATTTAAATTTAACTAATATTTAAATTTAACTAAATTACGTTAATAGTTTAATATATTGTTAATAATATGAAAATTAACATGACCTCACTAAATTACGTTAAAATTACGTTAATAGTTTAAATAAATTAACAACCTCACTGATTTAACAATTTTAATAATTTAATATGAAAATACATACTACTACCTCCGTCTCATAATTTACTTCCGTGTACAAATGGCACACGGATTAAGAAAGTGAGTTTCGTGTGGTGGAGAGTTGTGCAGAGGAGAGAGAAATGTGTAAGATTTGTTGTGAACCACAAATTCTTTGCTAAAAAAGGAAAGAGAAGTTCTTTTTGGGACAGACGAAAAGAGAAAGTTGAAAGTATTTTCAGGGACGGAGAGAGTAATACTTATTAAAAGAAATACATAATTAAAATGGCATACCTTGTCTGCATAAACAGGAAAAATGATGAACTGACAGATTACATCCTTCAATCTTTAAACCGATACTACATCACTCGAATCTACGATTTTTTAAACTGATAAGTATTCTTCCTAGCTACAACTCTAATGAACGACGTTGGGATATATAAAAAACGTTGTCACGGAGTTGTCACGGATAAATCCGTGACAAATCCTTATCCGTACCGCATTATTAAAGGTTACCGCTGGAATGTCAATAATTGAGGTTCGTCACGGATTTTGTCACGGATCTGTCTGTGAAAATCTTTTTTTTTGAATTTTGTCACGGAATTTGTCACGGATCCGTCCGTGACAAATGCCCGGGAGTAAAAAATATTTTGGCCGGAGTAAAATGCCGGTCACCGGAGTAAATTTGTCACAGACCAAAGACGTGATAAAGAATTGTCACGATTTTGTCACAGACGTATCCGTGACAAAACATATTCGTGACAGATCCCATTTTTCCGTGACAAAGCCCGTGACAACTTTGTCACGGCCGTAATCCGTGACAAAAATCCGTGATAAAACGGATGTTTTTTTGTAGTGTATGAGCAAGTAGGCACTCTAGGTGGCCGATTAATTCCACTAGGCGCTATACTAATTAACCGGGACACCTAGACTAAACAGGGCGCCCGGTCAACACCTAGCGCATAGTCAGGGACTAGTAGGATGCCTATATTGATTTTTAGAACAATGCCTACTATATAGATATTACTCCCTTCGTCCCAGAAAATTCTTCCCACTTTGACTTGACACAGAGATTAAGAAAGTGGAATAGAGTGGAAATGTGTGGTTGTAGTTGTGTAAGAAAAAGGTAAAATGAATGTTCCCCTCCACACAAATTGTCAAAAATGGTAAGCGAGAAGAATTTTTTGGGACGACCCAAAAAAGAAAGTGGGAAGAATTTTATGGGACGGAGGGAGTATTTTGTTAGTGTAACGATATTTTTTACAAAAAAAATAAGAACCGGAACTCAAATCAAGTCAGCCCGTTTCAAACGGAGCGGATAAGACTTGGTATACCCGAATCGAACCTACCCATTAATGAAACCAACAATTCTTGAAAATTTTGCAATTACCCAGACCGTGCCCATCCCTACATATTCCTTTTGCAATAAATAGTTGTATGATGCAAACAAAGGTAACTAACAATATACCATTCAAATAATATCGTCATGCAACATATAGCAAAAACGTAGAGCTCATTTGGTGACCATCTTTTCGGCTTATCAGTCAACTTTTGGTAACTTTTCATCACGTAACTTTTGGTTTCAGGCGTTGAATTGTGTAATAATAAGAAAAAGTAAGGTTGTGGTTACTTTTTGACTGTATTGACAGAAGTTACTGTAGATGATCCTTTTACCTATTTTTTACATATTTTTTTCTTTATCTTATTAATAGAAAATATTTTAAATATTTTTTCCCCATAAATTAGTATAATCAACAAATCCCACTTCAGGCAGAATTTCATTAATTTCAGCATAATCAACCGATTCAGCCAATTTCAGTGTTACCAAATAGGCTCTTAAAATACACTTTAAAAAATCTATATAGTAGCATTTTAACAAGAGACTAAAGTGTATGTAAAAGTGTTTAACTTAATTAAATCATAAATAATCAAATAGCAATATCTAAAAATCATACTACTATGTCTCAATTTGTTTTGCAAAGTCAACATTTTTTGTCAACCAATGTACTCCCTATAGATAAATACTTCAATTTTAATAATTACAATTTACATATTTAGAAACTACATTAAAATCTTTACAAAGTTGCAAAATCCAAATTAAAATTTAATGAAGAATTGATTTCGTAATTAAGTGATTAAAATGAACCCGTTTGACCCAAAAAGTCAAATTTTGCAAATCAGTTTGGGACGGAGAGAGTAATAGATGTAGTACCAAACATTAACTTTCTAGAATTAAGAAGTAAGAACTAACTAAAAAAATACTATACCTAATGTTAAACAAATAAAATAGCATATTTTAAGAAGTTCGATTTGTTCAGTTTTAAGAGGTAAAACAAAAAATCGAAACCAAACAACTACGTCAAAAAAAAAACCAAACAACTATCTCAATTTTTTTAGTTCAGCTTTGATTTTCTTGCAGTTCATTTATTTTGTTTGTGATTCAGTTTTTTTCAATTCAGTTACAGGGTTTTCGGTTTGACCGACTCACCCCAGTAGTGTTGTCATTTTTCCAAAGTAATTGGTAGGATTCAAATAGTACGTCACACTAGCCAAATAGGTCATATGACTAAGGGGGTGTTTGGATCTGATTCTTAAAACTGCTTCTGCTCATTCAGAGAGCATAATCCGAAGTTGGAGTGTTTGGGTGAAAGTGCAGATGTACTTATGGTGCTCTAGTTTACTCCTAGAAGCAATTTCTTAGAAGTTGGTGGAGATCAGCTTCTGAAAATTGATTCTAATTCTGCTTTAAAAAAGAAGCAGAAGCAGTTCCAAACACCCCCTAAATTATCTACCACACGTGTAAAGTCTTCATTAGCACATCGATCACAATCATTACATTGTGGAAGTAAAAAGAACAAGAAATGCACAAATATAGCACTGAACCCATGACCTATTTAAAAAAAAATTCAACATGCCATTTATCTAGCTACAATTATGTTTTATTTCCCACATTAAGACTTATTTAGTCTTACTAAAAAACAAGTTGATTAAAGCTTCGTAGAATAGCAGGGAATGAGTCCTATTTTGAGTACAAAATAATAGTAGTTCTATTTATGAACTTTAACATTGTTGTAATTCTATCTAAGGAATTCTCTCATGGATTAAATGGTTTGAAGTGAGCTGGAATTTCCTGTGATAGTTTGTCAAGTAGACATTGTGGGAGTTACAACTTACAAAAATAAAATATGGCTGGGAATTTATGGCTGGGAATGATATCCACAAGGGTTTTGGCTTGCCCATTTCCACTGGTCCCTGCACATCTCATCTATTCCCTTCTTCGCCCTGCCAACCAAACATACATACAAATGTAAGTACTTTAGTACTCATGACGAAGATGATGATGAAGATGGTGGACTTACTTCCAACCAAGCTCTTTTTCAGCCCTCACCGTTGATGCGTAAACAGCTGTGGCATCCCCCTCTCTTCTTTGACATAGTTTGATTGCGATTTTCTGCAACAACAAATAGTTATGCACACAATCAGGACCTCCCAATAAGCATTTTTTTTACCTCCCAATAAGCAAGCAGTTCCACATCAGAATATGTTCAGAAAGTAGCATCTGAGTTTATTTTGTTTATCTAATGTCAACATCAACAACAAGGTACATACCTTCCCCGATGCTCTTTCAAAGGCAGCTACCATTTCCAAAACAGATGTGCCCTGGCCAGTTCCCAAGTTGTAGGCAACACAACCTAAAATGCATGTACACGCTAAAATGAACTAAAAATAAAACCCACACCACTACTTGATTGGTGATAGTATTCATTAATTCATTATCAAAACGCAAACACACTTGCCACTATAATCCATCTATAAGCATGTGTATTCATGTTTCATAAAAGAGGTTTAGAGAGGGTACCCCTACCAATATCCTCTTGTTTAAGAAGTCGATCAAGTGAAACAACATGGCCATCCGCTAAATCCATAACATGGATATAATCTCGTATCTGTCAAATCATTAGGTTTAATCAAGGTGGGATTATATTGCAAGTTGGATGCGTGCAGCAGTTGGAATAACAGTGTGTGTATAGTATGATTCTGGTGAAAGCACTACATAACGTGAGAGATGAGAACGCTCCAAAACAATAGATATTATGGTTCACGAAGGTGCACATTTATAATTTAAATTATACAAAGTTTAAATGTGGACATTTGTGTGTGTGTACTAATGCATCGTTCAGATGCACACTTTCTAAATCACATTATTGTTTCACATAATGCACGATACATAAATCCGAACGCTTCAGAATCATTCTCATTTCTCTCCTTAAATCACGCTCACGCTCACGCGCACGCTCACACGCATGCGCGCACACACACATATATAACTCCGCCATGAGATCATTTTTGGTGTCATGTCTGTCCCAGACCAGGATAATGGAGGATGGTGTTGTGGTAGACGCGTGATGGCCAACAGTATCACTTAGTCATATCACATCACATGAATCGTAATATGAATATCGTTATTGCTAGGTCGTCGCCCATAAACGATGCGTCATTCCTTCACCTGAGGGTGGTGTCAAATATGCAAGGGTGTGCTACACTTCATAGGCCTGGTGTGGTGATAAAGATGCTAAGGTTGCTAGATCATCGTCTGAAAGCGACGCGCCACTCCAATGCTCGGGGATGATGTCAAATATGCAAGGGCATAGTGCGGGTCGATATCGTGTGAAGAAGACAAGGCAGGGTGCTAGATTGCATTTTGGGTAATGGAATGTTGGCTCTCTTACGGGACGAGAAGATCATCTAAGGTATCCGATGTTATGAAAAGGAGGAATATCAGCATAATGTGCGTGCAAGAAACTAAGTGGGTTTGAGATAAGACATGTGAGATTAATCCCGAAGGTTTTAAGTTATGGTATTCGGGGAGAGGGAAGAATACAAATGGAGTAGACATTATTGTGGCACATGATTATGTTGAGGGTGTGGTAGAAGTCTTTAGGAAGAATGACCGCCTCATGAGCATTAAGATGGTAATTGGAGATGAGATCATGTCCATGGTAAGTGCTTATGCACCACAAGTGGGATTGAAAGCATCTATCACTCAACAATTATGGGAAATCTTTAGAAAGTGGTGCGACAAGTGTTAAGGGGAGAGAAGCTAGTCATAGGAGGCGATCTCAATGGGCATGTGGCCTAAGTTGTGATGGTTTTGAGAGTATCCATGATGGACATGGTTTTGTCACTAGAAATGAAGCGGGGAAGAACATTCTGGATTTTGCCTCGACTTATGAGTTGGCTGTGATGAACACTTAGTTGAAGAAAAGAGACTCTCACATTGAAAAGGATGATGGAAAAATTACTTGCAGACGGAGGTAAAACTGCAACAGAATTGTCCAATGCCGATCCGGTGGTGGTACATGCACCCCGACAACATGAATCACATGGCTACTACTCATGGATCACATTTTGAGTTTCCCCTATTATCTGGCACGGACGATCCACTCAGTTGGCTTTATCGTTGCGAGTTATTCTTCATGAATCAGAATGTCCACCCTGCCAAACGAGTCTCTATGGCTGCTTACTATCTCACTGGAGATGCTCAATTGTGGTATCATCATCTATGTCAGACCAGCCCCATATTTCTTGGGAAACTTTTCGAGATTATTGCACTCGCAGATTTGGTCCCCTGGTGGTGCAAATCCATTAGGCGATTTGACAAATCTAAAACAACAAGGCCGTCCAATTGAGGAGTACATCACACAGTTTCAGAACAGCCTAACACGTGTTCCATCACTTCGTATGGAATACCAAGTTTCCATTTTCACAGCTGGGTGTTCCGAATAGATGTGGAACATCACAAACCATTGAATCGGACTATGGCGTTCAGTGAGGCAAGACTAATCACGAGAAAGTTGCAGCTTTGAACTTCAACTCATCCCAGAACATTACAGCCGCCTCCCAAGACAGTGCACAGCCCGACAACAGCCACCACTCAATTACCACCAGTTGCAGGACCCTCAATAACTCGGTCAACCCCTCCTCCATACATGAAGAGGCTGTCCAAAAGTGAAGCAGCAGAACGGCGAGCAAAGTGACTTTGTTACAACTATAATGAAACATATGTACTGGGGCATAGATGCAAGCGACTATTCTACCTTTGGATGGATGATGACGCGGTGGAAGGGTCTGTTGAGCCCACGGTTTCCCTTTATGCCATGGCTGGACTTCGTCACCCCAACACGCTTCAAGTGCAAGTCCAATTGGCCGGTAGTTATGTTCTTACAATGATTGATTCAGGGAGCACCCATAATTTCATCAATTCCCAAACTGCCCTCTCACTCGGTTTACCAATAACACCTCGCCACGATTTTCGTGTGGCAGTGGCTAATGGAGAAAAGCTACTCAGCACAGGTGTGTGCGAGCGAGTAAGACTTGTTAAGGCTGGTGCCACATTCCTTAAGGCTGGTGCCACATTCCTGATTAATCTTTTTGTCTTACCGATATCAGGGTTTGATGTTATCCTTGGGGTAAAATGGTTGGAGGAATTGGGGTGATATCATGTGTATTTTTAGGAAGCAAAGGGTCACCTTTACCATACAGGGAAGAAATATTACTTGGACAAGAGATGCAGCTCCAGTTGGCACTACTTTGTATTCTATGCATCCTACAATTTCGAATGATCACGCAATGGAGGAACTTCTGAGTTACTTTAACACCATTTTTTCTGATTCTATGGCACTGCCTCCAACACGCAATTGTGATCCCCATATTATTCTGAAAACTGGGACAAATCTTGTTGTTGTACGACCGCATCGCTACCCACAACTCCAAAAGGATGAAATTGAGAAGAAATGTTTGGATATGCCGGAAAGAGCACAAATTCAGCCAAGCCGAAGCCCATTTTCATCTCCAGTACTCTTGGTTACCAAGAGTGACAACTCCTAACGCTTTTGTGTAGATTATCGGGAACTCAATGCACATGCCATTAAGGATACATTTCCCATTTCGGTAATTGATGAGCTCTTAGATGAACTTCGCAGATCTCAGTTCTTCACAAAGCTTGACTTGCGCTCAGGGTACCATCAAATACGCATGAGCCTAGAAGATGTTGAAAAAACAACATTCTGCACCCACCATGGACATTTTGAATTCCTTGTAATGCCATTTAGCTTGTGCAACGCACCGTCCACCTTCCAAGCACTTATAAATGAGGTATTCGGATCCCATCTTCGTAAATTTATCTTGGTCTTTTTTGACGACATATTAATCTACAGTCACACTTGGGTGGAGCATCTACAACACATCATAATTGTGTTTGGATTACTCCACACTCATCAATTGTTCCTAAAAAGGCAGAAATGTGTTTTCGGTGTGCTAAAGGTAGCTTATCTCGGACATGTGATTTCTAAAATAGGGCGGCGGCAGATAATTCAAAAATTCAAGCAATCATTGATTGGTTTGTACCAGTCACAACCACTGCTCTTCGTGGATTCCTTGTCCTAGCTGGTTTTTACCGACGTTTTATCCAAAATTTTGGTGTGCATGCAGCACCTTTAACTTCACTCCTTCATCGCAATGCATTTTCATGGTCCAGTGAAGCTCAAACATCATTCGACAAGCTCAAAAATGTCTTGTCCAGTTCACCTGTATTGCATTTACCCAACTTCTCTAAGCCATTCCTAATTGAATGTCATGCATTAGGGGTGGGTATTGGAGCAGTTCCACAACAAGAAAACCACCCCATTGCCTTCTTCAGCACGAAGCTCGCAGACCACCACCTTAAGCTGCCAGCATATGAGCGGGAATTGATAGGCTTAGTCCAAGAAATACGAAACTGGAGGCACTATCTTTGGGGCCGCTCTTTCATGATTCGAACTGATCATTACAGCCTAAAATACTTACTGCAGCAACGCCTTACAACCTCACCGCAACAACATTGGATGAGTAAACTATTGGGTTTTGATTTTGAAGTCGAATACAAACCTGAAAAATTGAATCGCGTGGTAGATCCTCTATCACGGAGGGATGCAAATCTAGCAACCCTTATGGCAGTTACCATGGTTCACGCCCAGTTAATGGAGGACTTAAGGAAGCACTTTTAGCACTCCGAGGAAGGCCAGATTGTTTTCAACAAAGCAGCACAAGGGGGAATTTTAATTGGACAATCCATGATGGCGTGGTCTTTTACAAGTCCAAAATATATGTGAAAGCCGACTTTAATTACATCCTTTCCATCATCGCAGCAGTCCATAATGCTACTCATGAAGGGATTCAAAAGACTATGCACCACATTAAAAGGGAATTCTATTGGGAAGACATGGCATCTTCGGTAACGGACTTCGTCACCAATTGTGCTATTTGCCAAAAAATAAATGGGAAAACTTGCACCCAGCAGGTTTACTACAACCACTGCCAATTCCTGAACACATATGGGCTGATATTTCAATGGATTTTATTGGCGGGCTACCAAAAGTCGGGGGTAAATCAGTTATCTATGTAGTGGTGGATCGATTCTCCAAACAGACGGTCAAACAAAAGTTGTTAATCGCACACTCGAAATGTATCTCAGATGTATGGTAGGAGATCACCCACGCAGGTGGGTAGACTAGCTGCCATGGGCTGAGTTCTGCTACAACACCTCTCTGCATTCGGCTTTGGGTACTTCACCCCTCAAGGTCGTATATGGGCGCGAACCGCCGAGGCTTATATCATACGAACTAGGGTCATCCAGAATAGAAGCAGTAGATGCTGCTTTGAAGGACAGAGACGCAATCCTGAGCGTTGCTAGAAATCACCTCACACGTGCTCAAGATAGAATGCGTCTTGCATATGACAATAAACACTGAGACGTTATGTTCAACGAGGGATAGTGGGTTTAGCTTCGCCTGCACCCACATCGTCAATTCAGCATAACCAAACGTACATCAGCGAAATTATCTCCACGGTATTTTGGACCATTCCCGATCATCAAGAAAATTGGCAAAATGGCATATAAGTTGGCCCT